GATCATGTTAAGTTTGGAAGATTAATATAATATTAAGGACAATATTTAGAGAGAAAAGGGAGAGTTAAAAACTTAACCTAACCCTCATATTTGATTTGTATTTATAGTTAACTCACAATAATAATAATTACATATACACCCTCTTACTGTTAACAATCTACACATAATACCCTAATACTCTTAACACTCCCCCTCAAGCTGGATTATATATATCATATAATCCAAGCTTGGAACAAATCGCTATAAGACGTGTATGATTCAATGTTTTGGTAAACATATCTGTAAGTTAATTTTCAAATTTCACAAATGGAGTTGTAATCTCCCCAACTACTATCTTGTCTCGAATAAAGTGACAATCAACCTCAATATATTTGGTTCTCTCGTGAAATACCGAATTAACAGCGATATGGATAGCTGTCTGGTTGTCACAGAACAACTATAAAGGAAGTTGAACTAGCAATTCAATTTCCTGGAGGAAATGTAGAAGCCGAGTCAATTCCCTCGTTGTATGGGTCATTGCCCTATACTCAGCCTCAGTCCTGGATCTTGCTATCATAAATTGTTTCTTACTTTTTCCATGAGACAACGTTACTACCTAAGAAAGTACAATAACCAGTGGTTGACCTCCGATCAGAAGGAGAGCCAGTTCGATCAGCATCTGAGAAACCTTCCACCCTAAGATGTCTTTTAGCTCGATATAACAATCTAAGTCCAGGAGCTCGTTTGAGATTTCACAATACGAGTAATTGCCTCCCAATGTAGTACTCTAAGACACCCATGAACTGACTTACTATACTGACTGCATAGAAATATTCGATCGAGTAATAGTAAGATAATTAAACTTCCCAACAAATCTGCGATACCGACTCGAATTCTCAAACAGTGCATCATTATCCATCAATAGTTTTTGATTCGGATCCATAGGAACATCAATTGGTCTGCCACCCAGCAAACTTGCTTCTCTAGCATGTCAAGTACATATTTTTTTTGTGATAAACAAATACCTTGTTTAGATCGAGCCACTTCAATTTCCAAGAAATACTTGAGTTTTTCCAAATCCTTAGTATGAAATCGATTTTGTAAGAAGATTTTTAACTTGGCAATCCCCTCAGAATCATTTTCAGTAATCACAATATCAACTACATAGACCACCAATAGAACATATCCAGTATCCGTCTGTCTATGAAACACAGAATGGTCTGTCTGACATCGAAGAAGACCAAACTCTAAAATTGCATCTAAAAACTTACCAAACCATGCTCTCGGTGATTGCTTCAAATCATACAAAGATTTCTTTAATCGACATACACTCTTATCATACTCCCCTGAGCAGTAAACCTAGGTGGCTGCTCTATGTATACCTCTTCAACCAAGTCACCATGTAAGAAGGCATTCTTGACGTCTAACTAAAACAAGGGCCAATCAAGATTAGCAGCCAAAGAAATCAAGATACGAACTGAGAAAATTTTGGCAACAGGAGAGAAAGTCTCCTCATAATCAACATCATAGATCTAAGTAAAGCCCTTTGCAACAAGCTGGGCTTTGAGACGCTCCACAGAACCATCCGGATGAAATTTAACAGTATACACCCAACGACAACCAACAGTTCGTTTCCTAAGAGGTAAAGGAACGAGATCTCAAGTCCCATTATGATGTAAGACACCCATCTCATCCTCCATAGCTTTCCTTTAACCTGGATCAGATAATGCATTCTGTAAATATTTAGGAATAGCTATAGTAGATAATTGAGAGGTAATACAAGAGAAGACAGGAGACAAGACATCATATGAAATAAAATGAGCAATGAGATAATTAGTAACACATGAACAAGTACCTTTTCAAAGAGCAATAGGTAAACAGCTTAAATTACCTGATGGATTAGGATCAGAAGGCAGCAAGGAAGACATATGGGAGCCTCAGTCGATGGTCGAGGACAACGAGAGTATACACGAAGAGGTAAAGTAGATGGTAACACAATGGGCAGCGGGATACCTGAAGATGAGGGAAGAGATGGTGGTACGAGAGATGACCCAAAGTTCAGCTCCAAAGACTGAGAAGGTGCTGAAAAATATGGAACAGATTCCTCAAACGTGACATCAGCACTAGTAAATTATCGTCGCAGATAAGGACTGTAACAACGATACCCTTTTTGTGTGTAAGAATAACCTAAAATACACATTTAGTAGCTTGAGGGTCAAGTTTATCAAACACAGGACACAAATTGTGAACATAACAAACACATCCAAAAACCTTAAGAGTTGGAAAAAATAAAGACTTACTAGGAAAAAGGACAGAATATGGACTTTGCCCATTTAACACAAAGGATGAAATATGATTAATAAGGTGACAAACAATAAGAACAGCATCACTCCAAAAGTATCGGGGAATATTGATTTGAAATAACAGGGCACGGGTGACTTCCAACAAATGACGGTTCTTGTGTTCAGCAATACTGTTCTGTGGAGATGTGTAAGCATAGGAAGTCTGATGAATAATGCCAGTTTTACTAAGATAAGCTAAAAAAAGATCAGATTCATATTCTCGAGCATTATCAGAACGTAAAATACGTATACGACAACCATACTGAGTTTTTATTTCTTTACGAAAAGTCTAAATATAGAGAATAATTCAGACTAAGCTTTCATAAAAAACAACTAAGTCACACGAGAATAGTCATCCACAAATGACACAAAATAAGGATATTTATTAGATGAAATATTCTTTATTAAGCCCTATACATCAGAATGTACCAACTTAAATGGATTAGACACACGATTATTAATTCTAGACTGAAATGACATACGGTGATGCTTACTAAGTTGACAAGCTTCACAAGACAAAGATGACACACAATTAAGACTGGGAACTTGGCGCTTCAAATTCTGAAGAGAGGGATATCCAAGACGACAATGCCATTGCAAAAGAGACAACAAGGTCTATAGAGTCCGAGTAGGTAAATCAAAATCAAAGTAATATAGGCCACCAGCTTTATGCCCCGTACCAATCTTCCTCTTTGTCTTGAGATCCTAAAAGACACAATAAGAGAGATAAAAAGTTATAGAACAATTGAGAGAATGAATAATCTTACTAATGGAAATTAAACTAAAAGGAAAGTGAGGAACAAATAACACGGAAGATAGGGACATATTAGGACTCAAGTGAGTAGTTCCCAGATTTGAAACTTTAGAACAAGTACCATTAGCAAGAGTAACACTACGTATAGAAGTAGCAGACTGATAAGTAAAAAAAAATCAAACGCACCAGTTGTGTGGTCAGAAGCGCCAAAGTCTATGATCTAGGGACTGTGAGTGGAGGACAATAAATAAGTGGAAGGAATACCTGACTGGGCAAAAGTAGCAATGGAAGGAGATGGGATAGCCAGTTACTGGGACAGGAACTGAGCATACTCCTCTCGTGTAATAGTAACCGATCAAGTGTCTTGCTTGGGTTCCATAAGTGTAGCAAATAGAAAAAAAAGAATTACTAGATCACTGAATCGGACAAGAATCACCTACTGCACTGTTGAACCGAAAAAGAGAAGATTGCTGGATCACTGAACGAAACTGGAGAACTCCACTGGACTGCTGAACCGGACCAAAGAAGTCCACTGGACCGCTGAACCAGACCAAAGGAGTCCACTGGACTACGGAACCAGACCAAGGAAGTCCATTGGACTGCTGAACCGGAGACAAAACAGTTTGAACCGGTCTAAAACTGACTGAACCGGTCTAAAACTAATTGAACTGGGCCTGAACCGGTCTAAAACTGGATGAACCGGGCCTGAACTGCTCTAAAACTGAATGAACTGGGCCTGAATCGGATTTGAACTGGTTTGGTCTGAGGCTACTAGACTTCGATCTTGATTGGGTTTGGTCTGAGGCTACTGGACTTCGATCTTGATTGGGCTGGGCTTGGATCTGCTGCCCAAACCCGCAATCGTGAGTTGTCTTCTTCACCAACAAACCCTAATGCCCCTTCAATGGTTGACGGCGATGAACAACCAACAACCAGCAGCCACCAACGTCGACTACACCACCGAACAACCAGATAATCAGTCGACTACACCACTGAAGCACCACCGAAGAAGAACCAGAAGTGACCACCAAGAACCAGATACCAAAACTCGAAGAACATTACAACTTAACAAACAACACCAACGAAGATAGAGAATATTCTCAACCACACCAATCGACTATTACCACCACCAGACAAGACCACAACGAACAGTACAACACAATGACACCACCGAACAATCAGACACAACAACAATGGTCACACAACCGTGAACCAAAATAGTTAATATTTTTATTGGTTTTGCTCTGATACCATGTTAAGTTTGGAAGATTAACATAATATTAAGGACAATATTTAGAGAAAAAAGAAAGAGGTTAAAAACTTAACATAGTTCTCATACTTTACTTGTATTTATAGTTAACTCACAATAATAAGAATTACACATACACCCTTTTACTATTAACAATTTACACATACTACGCTAATACTCTTAACAGATCACTTAGTCATTGTCATAAAGTAGTCCAACAACTGTGGCAACTGACAATAACTTGGAATCACTTCAACAATATTGGTCAGGCCTGATCATCTTGGGATCATTTTGAGGTATACTTCCTCAGATGGAAGTCGCTCCAAATAAGGGTCAATTGTCAGTGGAACTGACAAGTGAAGAGCATGAAACAATTTGAGTCCATTCAGAGAAGAAATAAAACTTTTTATTCCTGTCATACCTTTTCCGTTTGGAGGAAGTATGTGGATTAATGATATTTTTGATGCCGTTATGTGTTCCCTCAACAATGTGACTCAATTAATGGGTCATGTTATGATTTATTGGAGGATCTAGGTTTTATTGATGAGTATGTCAACAGGGATTATCTTTCAAAAAAGCCAAGTATTTGCTTGCTACGTTAATGTAGTACTATGTCTGGTTAGGCTTGTGGAAATATATTGTTTCCAATGCTTTTTCGCTGGTTTTTGTTTTTCAGGATGCTGATATCATGTGGTTCAGGGACCCATTCCCACATTTTACTTCGGATGCAGATTTTCAGATTGCCTGTGACCATTTCTCAGGTGACCCTAATGATGTGGAGAACAGACCCAATGGAGGCTTTAAGTTTGTAAGGTCCAATAACCAGTCAATAGGGTTTTACAAGTTCTGGTACTCCTCACAAGAAACGTATCCAGGATTACATGATCAGGATGTCCTTAATAATATCAAATTTGATTCTTATCTGATAGATATTGGATTGAATATGAGATTCTTGGATACTTCTTACTTTGGTGGGTTTTGTGAACCTAGCAAAGATTTGAATCAAGTTTGCACAATGCATGCAAACTGCTGTTTTGGGCTTGACAGTAAACTTCATTGATCTTAAAATCATGCTTCAAGGTTGGAAACTGTTTATGTCTTTGCCACCAAGCTTGAAGAGATCATCAATGCAATCTTGGAGGGTTCCTCAAAACTGCAGGAAAAATGGTGATTTGTATTGTACTTATCTAGATTTCAGAAGTTGTTGTCTTTTTTATGCACTAATTACTGCTGTTTTGAAATGTCTACTCCTCACATGGGTTCTTTTCTCGTGGTTTTCCAGTCTCGATTCTCTTCGCCCATATGGTCCTCCAGGGAAGGTTGTTGACCAATGATAGGAAGATGGGGTTAAATATTGCAGATATTATTAGTTCTTGCCCCCTGTAGATTGTCGAGTTAAAGTTTCTTATTTATACTGCAATTCTTTTTCAGTAAGTATTTCAATGCTTTTCAATGAAATGCCGATTGTACAGAGTTGATCTGATTTTTTGTGCCAAGCTGTTTCCCCCAAAATATGACACTTTTAAGTAATATATGTCAAGTAGAGGAAGGTACTAAGTTGGATATCCGCGGTTTTGTACGAGTTGATATGTTACTTGGATCTTGAGTTGTTTTGTTGTGTGGTACAGATACGGGTATATGGTACGACACTTTCTTAGGTACACGGTACGATGAGGGTATGCTTTGTTGGTACGGTATTTTGGATCACAATTCATTTTGGAATTCTTATTTAGATTGTTTTCAGTACTCTACAACATTATGTATCATAAAACATTCATAAAAATATTAAGTCAGTTATTATTTATCTTATATTTTTGCTCGATTTTTTATTGTTCAATATAATATATAATTATAAATCTATAAACACGTCAATTAATATTTATTTTATATTTGTGTTGCATGTTTCAAAGCGAATTTATTAAGGGTTAATATTACAATTTGGAGTCATATATTTTGGTGATCTAGATTGGGAATTCACCCAATTTAGAATCAATGTACACAAATTGTGGGTTGCCAAGGGTTTAGCGTATTTTGGTAATTGTGGGTTGATATTTCATTGTGAATAACATTCCATCCTTGTAACTGTTTTCGGTAGATATTCTCTCATCATATAGATGCTGCATTGTGGGCAAAATTTGTATATTTATTTTCTTATCATTTGACCATTTTAAATAGCATATATGAAGGCAGGCTAGAAGGATTATTTTGCTGCTAGCCACAAATATGCTTAATTAGCACTCTTGTAATTTTTCCGAAAGAGTTTATTATGGGATGAAATCACTCTCAACTTGTGGAATGATGTCGAATTAACATGGATATGATGACCTTTGATTACACTCGTATGATAGAAAAGGGGCAGCATTCAGCATGGCCCTTTTGATTGGGAGTGCCGGATATAAACTTAGACTTTGACATTATCTGTACGACGGAGCCAAACCCACAGCCTGAGGGTTGTTTCCGCTACATTTTTACTCATTATCTGAATTTTCTTTTGGATTTGTCTATAACTCCAATATTTTGCATTTGCAACGTGTATGCACCAGCATGCAGTTGTTTTTGTTTCAGTCATTTTATATCAGTTGACATGTTTCTCATTATTGACGTTTTGACAAAATCAGTGAGACCTAAGAAGCACGGAAACTCTTTTAAAGATGACACGTGTCTATGTTGGATATATGTCGAATATCGACATTTTTTCGATACTCTTGAAAGCCTCATTGTTTGTACTTGGCCACGACAGTCACTTGGATTCTCATTTGGTAATTCTTCCTTATTTTCTTATTGCAAAGGTGCATGATAAGACGTTTATGTATAGAGGATGAACAGGCTAAGCCTGTTTGGACAAAGTGTAGATCCTAATTGTAGAAATATATTTTTGTTCACCACTACATCTAAATTTCATTAAAAGGGAAGGCAAACACAGCATTAGGGAGTTCTTCCAAGAACAATAAGTGATAGCTGGGGTGCATGTCTTAGGTGTGGGTAGATGGGGCACCACATGATAGAGGGCACAACAAAAATGCCTCTTGTTAAGGAAGATAATAAGGAGAGGTTGACAGGGGGCGCAACACGAGCATACTAAGTTTTCAGAAGTGAAGAGAGCTTGTGATGCGGTGTTTGACTTCGGTACACACGATTACACATTTTTCATTGAGGTCGAGTCTTTAGTTTCTTCTGGGATAGCAGGGTAGCTGTTCAGTATTTGATGTGATTGATTAGAGGAGTGCAAATTTACACGGTGATTTTTCCTGGTTGGACAGATAGTGGTGTTACTTGGGTCATTGCAGGACAACTCGATTTAGCTCCAGGGAGAGCAACTCATTGTAAATGTCCATTGCTTTCAATAGGTGTTGAGGATGGTTATAATTTACTCTCAGTTTAGTAGTCATAGGATCTGAGGTTGTTAGTTTCTGATGAGGTCAGAGTTGCTTGTAACAGAAGCGTGCTCTCTGGTCGTCTCTCTCCTTCATCGATCTTCATTTTTGAGAAGATTTGACTCGCCCTCTATCCTTCCTAAAGGAACTTCTTAACTGGGTTGACCTGAAAGCAATTCCAGATCAACACCCGGTTCCATAATATAATTGATGGCTTCGATGATGTCCTCCAAAAAGGAGAGGCGGAAGTTTACTTGCCAACAATTTATCTCTAGGTTGTATTTACTTCTTAAGTATAAACATTTGTTAACAAGTAATTACCAAAGACTAAATAATTGAAAATTTCCATCTCAAGAAAGTGACAAATGACTATTTTATATTATGAAAGAAAATAAAATTGTTGAGACTAGTCATGTTGAAATTGTACTTAAATTTTACTAATAAAAAGAGAGAGTGCATAGAAGTTTTTTTCTTAAAAAAATGAACTTGAGAAGATGAGAACAATCATTTAAAGTTTGTCCTGACATGTTTGTGTATGATTTTTTCAAAAATAATGTGTGTATATCTATGTCCTGTGTTTATATCCATGCTTCTTGGAGTGGGGCTGTACCTGTTTTCTGGGTATAGATAAGGTATTGAACTTGAAGGAGCTTTAGAGATGTATTTGTATGCCAAAGTCTACTTGATAAATAGGGTAGTTTGCAAGCCACGACTAGAAATCAAAATTGAGAAAATAACTAATAAGGCCTGCTTTTATTTTTATTTTTTTGTGACAAAAAACCATTGTGTCCTATTAACTTTTGAGTTAACACAACTAAGTCTTTCTTTTTTAGTATAATTTCAAATAAATCTTAATTCTACAATCATTTCTCTTTTGCCCATTAGGTTTTAACTACATAAATGCCATCTTATGAAAAATCAGTAAAGTTTCAATATAAATAAATAAAATAAATCGTTCCATACACATCACCTAACACGGTTAGCTGTCCAAAAAAAAAAATACATTTAAGAATTATTCAAAATATAGTTTATCTCATTAGTAGGATGATTAATAAATTTATTTTTTTCAAAAATGGAAATTGATACACATGTTTAACTAAAAGTAAAGTAAATTTATATAAACTTTAAAATACTGTAAAAAATCATAAGCAATCATTATATTTACTTCCCAATTTTTATATAAATTGAAATTTGTAAAAAAATTATGAGCAATAGTATAGTTATTGTTTGATGAAAGAATGATGAACAAAATTTTAGTTGATGGTTTAACGAGAAAGGGTAAAATTGGAATAAATGTATGATTGACAGAGTATTGAAGAAAGCTGGAATAAATTATTAAAAAAAAGACTTGATTGTCCTAAAAGAAAGTTGCTAGTTTTTTTTGTTGGGATGGGAAAAGTAAGACTTATCCGATATTTTGCTATCAAAATTTCCTTCACTTATGTTTGGGTGGTTAGTATTTGGTTGTCTGGCTTTTGACCCACTTTGTCTTAGGCTAAAGGGTTCCAATTAAAGTTGGTCGATCAAGTCTGCAGTGGAGGAGAGCAGCTTAAAAAGTGGCCTTAAGTCCAATTTTTCCAATACTTACTTTTTTGGTGCTATTTTAACTCTTCTATTCTCTACTAGTTGAATCTAGTCCGAAAACCAATAGCTTTTGTTTAAAGTATTTTTTTTAAATTTTTTAAGACTTTTTAATTACTTTTTTAAGGAAGGGTTGTGTTGTTTTTGTTTTTGTGTAAATTACAATTTCACCCTTAAAATATGTACCCAATTTTTATTTGATCCTTTAAGTTTTAACTATAACAGTTAAATCTTTAAGAGTTTTAATTGAGCTTTTGTTTAGTCATTGCATCAAAATTCACTAATTTATTATTATGGAATGACTTTCCGTGACCAAATCATAATTTGGGTAAAAGGGTATATTTGTTTGTTGAATTTTTTTTTATGTGTAAGCTAGAAAATTATATTATATTATTTTATTTTATCTGATTCAAAAAAAGAAGATAAGAAAGCTAAAAATAAAGTTACAGAGTGAGAATTTGAGAGACACTGTGAGACATAGAGAGAAAGAAATATACGTAATTGAGATATTTTTTGTTGGACATTAATCTTTATGGACAAATCATGTGACATTCTTCTGTAGATATAAATTAAAAGATCTGCATGAAAATAATGAATTGAAATTCAGTTAAAACTTTAAAGATGCAATTGTTTTAATTAAAACTTTAAGGAAATAGAAATTAGTGTAAAGTATATTTTTGGCTCCCAAACTATATGTTTTATGTCAATTTCACCATCAATCTTTAAATTGTGGCCGGTGGAATTTACTAACGAATATTGTCACAGGCATCTCACGTGAGTGACACAAACTATAAACTTGAAGAATTAAAATGAAACAAGTAACAAATTTGAGGGACCAAAGTGGCCCTTCAAGTGTGGTCACGTAAACATCTCTGTTAGTCAAGTCGAACTGTTATTTATGATTAGATCAAAGTGACACAAATTGAGAAGTCGAAGGATCAAATTGACTTAATTCAAAAATTGGGGATTAAATTGACAAAAACCGTATAGTTTTTAGACCAAATATGTATTAACCCTAAAATTATGTGCATACTTTAATGATACAAATTGTAAATCACATTTTGTTTTTTGTATTCTTTTTCTTGTCGGTGTTTGCTCCGAACACTTTTATTAGATGGTGATGATGCACAAATTGATTTTTATGCACCACTTGTCAAGTAAAAAATGTAATAAATAAATAAGGAGAAATAACACAAGCAAAATACAATTTAAGTGATTTGGTCAAGGTGACTTACTCCATTACGAAGGGCTAAGATGACTTGAGTGATTTATTGCTTCAAAGAGTGTTGAGTGCTCAGGTGTGAGTGATATGTGAGATACAAGATGTGAGAGATGCCCTCTATGTGTAGGCGGAATTTACAATTTATAGGTGTCTCATGACAAATTGAGACACCTTATCACAAACAGAAATGCTAATTTGGTGAAGGGGCC